AGTACACACACACACTTTTTGTTCAGAAGTTTGCGACGAGACTCGTTTTGGCTAGAAAGGCGGGATCCAAGAGCCGATGCTCGATCCTGCAAGCACAAATAGGTTAGTACAAATAGGTGAGGACACACGTGCTTAGTGAACAGGTGCATTAGGTGATAGGAAATGTGCCCAACCATTTCTTTCCCGACCGGGATTCGAACCCGGAATTCTCGATTGTGTGTCGAGAACGAACCCCACTAGATCATTACATCTAATGGGGGTTCCCCCCAACCCCCTAAGCACCACTAGTGAAGTACAACTAGGTGAGTACAATATATCCCCTGAACTAGTGCCATCTAGGAAAAAAACGTATTGAATCACTCATAGGGTCGTCGACCGTCCTGAGAAACGCAAGGAGCAGCCAACCTGGCGTTGTCTGTCCTGTGTAAACCAGGGAGCACGTCAGCCGGCGGCGTCGCTCGTCCTGGGGATAACAAGAGGCGGGCCCAGCTGAGGCCAGAGGTAAACATGGCGGCGGTGTCCAGGGCTATTCTCAGGTCCAGGCCTCTCCTCGGCCTCCAGGGCCTCCAGGCCTCCAGGGCTGCTGGACGTAAGTGCCTCAGCGTCTTCTCTAACTTGTGGACAGATTTCCGATTCGGTTATTATGGCGTGAATGGTCCAGAGAGAGGTGTAGAGAGGCGTTATATCTCTCAACGCCGTCGGCATATTTCTCCAGACGGTTTTAAGTTTTGTTGTTTTTGCTTTAATTTAGGTATATATATGTGTGAAGCTGAGCTGGTGGGAGTCTATTTCTGGTCGGGACAGAACTGGTTGGGCACAGTACCTTATTTTTTATGTACCTAATGCCTCTGTTCACCTAGCAGTAAGTAGCTCCCCAGGAGTGTATCAACCGTTGTACTCACCTAGTTGTTTCAGGGGTTGAGCTTTGGCTGTTTGGCCCTGCCTCTCAACCGTCAGTCTACTGGTGTACAGGTTCTTGAGCTTATTGGACTCTTAATATATCTACATTGGCAACTGTGTTTGGAGTCTGACTCCACCACATCACTGCCTAATCTCGAGCCCAATAGGCTCGGGAATCTGTACACCGGTTGACTGATGGTTGAGAGGCGGGACCAAAGAGCTGAAGCTCAACCCCCCCCCTCCAAGTACAACTAGGTGAGTAATGCATTCCATTGAACTAAATAGTCTCCGTGGTGTAGTGGTAAGACACTCGCCTGGCGTTCCGCGAGCGCTATGTCATGGGTTCGTATCCTGGCCGGGGAGGATTTACTGGGCACAATTCCTTAACTGTAGCCTCTGTTTAACGCAACAGTAAAATGTGTACTTGGATGAAAAAACGATTCTTCGCGGCAGGGGATCGTATTCCAGGGACCTGCCTGAAACGCTACGCGTACTAGTGGCTGTACAAGAATGTATCAACTCTTGTATATATCTCAAAAAAAAAAAAAAAAAAAAAAACTACCCCAAACATTTGTTGATCCTCCCCCCCCCCCCCCCTGGGGGATAATGCAGTTGTCATCAGGCAACGAAACCCTAAGCTAACCCATTTATCATGCATTGATACCCCGAGGCTAACATAGTTATCATTCATCAGTCCCCGAGGTAAGGCAGGTATCATGTGTATTTTTAGTCATCTCCCGTTGTCATGGGCACTAAGTTACTAAACCCCCCCCCTATCATACCCTCCTCATTCATTTGTCACATCATAACCCACCCTTGGGCTCGGGCTGCTCGCTTCATGCAGGTCAGCGTTCAATTCCTGACCATTTAAGTGGTTGGGCACCATTCCTTCCCCTCGTCCCATTCCAAATCCTTATCCTGACCCCTTTCCAAGTGCTATATAGTCATAATGGCTTAGCACTTTCTTCTGATAGTTCCCTTGTCACATCGTGCTGTTGTCGTCATCTGTGGTCTGTGGGAGTGTAATATATTGTCAGGCCGCTTGCTGCCACTGGATTATTATTGAATATTTAAAAAGCCTTTACAAATTGTCCTGCTTACCTTAATACATACATGTTGCCTAAAATTTAGGAACATTATTTCATGTAAATCAACAAAAGTTTGAATGATATTTTTTTTTTTTTTACATTTCAGATTGGAATAAGGACTGGAAACCAAAACCATATCCCGTTACTCCGGAGGAGCGTGCAGAAGCTGCCCGCAAATATGGCCTGCGTCCTGATGAATATGAGCCATACCCTGATGATGGGCTCGGATACGGAGACTACCCAAATTTACCCGTTGTGGCGGCTGAGGCCAGGGACCCCTATGAAAATTGGGACTACCCAGAGCACCGTAGAAATTTTGGAGAGCCGGTGAGAATTGTTATATTTGTTGATGCAAGCTTTTGTCACTGCTTGAGGCTGGCAGCGTGGGATGGTTCTCATGTAACATGTCGATGTATGGACACAGTACTGTACAGTGAATGGTGTTTTTCCATTTGAATTACTGTACTTTAGAATTGTTACCTGATGTGGTTACCCCACTTTCAACTATCTCCTTGCCTAGCTTGATGTAATGTATCGTGGTTGAACCTCGCGTGGCGTAATGTGGTTGAACCTGGCATAACCTAACACGGTCCCGGCCTGAGGTAATTTTTCCTAAATATTAAAAACACAAACCTGTTTTAGCACTGAACTGCACACACTGTGATATCACAGGGAAAGGGGGTGTGCATACTAGCGTATCACGTTTGTTAGTACAGTACTGTATATTGTACGATTCAAAACTTGCGTAGGTATACGACGCTCGCATCCTGTTACTTAGGACTCCAGTAAACAAACCCCATATTAAAGCAGAATTGTCTGCATCCTTCCTGGTTGTTAGAGCCTCAGTACCGCCAGAGCAACCAAGGCGAGCACATGTGGCTGGAGTTCACAGCACAGCTGTGCAAGTCGGGGCCACAGCACCACTTAATAATGAATAAAATAATTACAGTAACTTCAATTACAGTATTTTGCAATGATAAGTGTCATAGATAATGCAGACTGTAATAAAAATGATATGCAAGGTTCAGGTATCGGTAAACCACAATGTTAGTTATGGTGTTGACAGCAGGGAGGCAGATATTCACAGCACACTGCCGAGGTTTGTGAATCTATGACTCGTGTAACGTGCCCTCGGGTTCCTTTAGAAAATAATCTTGTGGAAAAGAATTCATATTCGTGATTTTTTTACAGGAATCTGATGATAGTAATAGCAGTGTTCGAAGTAATAATTACGATATGTGTAGTGTATTCCAGGGTATTTTGCTCGGCTGGTGACGTTATCTGGTAGAGTCGGCAGGTTGTAGCATGTAGCTCTTTACTGTGCTAAGATTTCATTACTACACAGCCAAAATTACTTAGTGGTTTGTTATGGTTTATAGAATTATAAATATATGAATTGTATATAGTGTAATAATTACAGGAAATTACAGGTACATGGAATAAATGTGAGAATGCTGGAATGGATAAAACAATGGTTAAAACATAGAAAACAAAAGGTTGTGCTAAATGGGAATGAATCTGACCGGGGGTAATGAGGTAAGTGGGGTGCCACAGGGGTCCATTTTGGGGTCAACCCTTTTTGTCATGTACATCAATGACATAGATAACAATATTGCAAACCACATCGTCAGGTTTGCAGATGACACTAAAATATACGGTAAAGTGTACAAGTTTGAAAGTGAAGGTGATATTGAGACTTTACAAAGAGATCTGCATGAACTCCACAAATGGTCAGAAGACTGGCAAATGCTTTTTAGTGTCAAATAAATGCAAGACCTTGTGTGTGGGGCTTAACAATCCACGTCACAACTACCAAATTGACAGCACTACTCTACAACAGATAGATGAAAAGACCTTGGAGTCAGAATCCATCATTCAATTAAAGTTGCACAACACGTGGGAGCGGCAGTAAAATAAAGCCAACCAAACCCTGGGAATAATCAAGCATGCCTTTACCTTCAAGAAGAAGAAAGTAGTCGTTCAATTGTACAAGTCTGGTACGCCCCCACCTGGATTATTGCATCTAGGTATGAAGAATTCATCATTGGAAAGACATAGTTGCTCTGGAAAAGGTGCAACACATGGCAACAAAAATCACACCAGAGCCTAGTCGCCTCTCGTATCAGGAACGGTTGAGGGCCACTGGGCTAACAACTTTGCAAACCAGGCATGACAGGGCAGATCTCCTAGAAATCTTTAAAATACTGAACAATTTGAAGGATATCGCTTCGGTCTATTTCTTCAAAAGGTCAGATGTAACATGAACAAGGAGCAATGCTCAAGCTCAACAAACCACAATGTAGGACTGAAAACAGATGCTTTTTCCACCCATATGGTTGTAAACCCGTGGAACTGCCTACCCACCGAAGCTGTAAATGCCAAAACTGCTGGGTTTTTAAATTCAGCTGGAAAAGATCATCAAGGCAAATGGGGGGGACCATTGACAAGCCGCTGGCTTCCTGTCCTCATCGAGGCCACTAGTATTAGTGGCTATCGGGTAAATTCAGGTAAATAACAACAAAAATGTTTTATTGATCTAAGAATATATATATACGTGTCACTAGATATGAGCACCATACTTTTTAGCATAGCAATGTTTCACATATTTCATTATATATATTCCTGAACCCTTAAACAGCACAAAACATATGTCCAATCATATATGATTGGACATAACATCAGTTTTTAAAACTTGTACACTTGACAATTTTTTGTGCATAATCAACCCGGCAAATGCTCTAACCTTGTCACTCGATCATGAACGTAATTTGAAAAACAAGAAATTTTCAAATAGTTTTTAAATTGAATATTGAAAACTTCAGATTTTCAAATCGGATTAAAAATATAAACTATCACCAATTGTTCATTTGGTGTTGTTATGCTCTCAAAATAGCATATGATCTTCATTTTCATCAAATTAGAATACAGTGGGGCCTCGATTTACGATGGTAATCCGTTCCCAGAGACGTATCGTAAGTCGAAATGATTTTTCCCATAAGAAATAAAGGGAATTGAAGTAATCTGTTCCATACCCCTCAAAAATATTAACTTAAAAATACATTTTATACTGAATACAATTTGTTTTCATCTGTTGACCAGACCACACACTAGAAGTTGAACGGACGACGACGTTTCGGTCCGTCCTGGACCATTCTCAAGTCGATGAGAATGTTTTTATCTAACTACAATACAGTACATGTTTATCTTACCTTTATGGAGGACTCTTGGTGGTGTATGAAAGATGGTGAGGAGGGGGGAGGAGGAGAGGTGTTACTGTTTGAAAGGGGAGTCCCCTTCCATTATAACATCAGGCAGTGAGGACTTCTCTGGGGTACACACACTGTGGCACGTTTTGCCTGTATACCACTAGGACCTGCTTCTGGCTCTGCTTGATTTTTCTCACTAGAAATCGTTCCATTGAAGATTGTTTTTCCCTTCTTTACAACACTTGTCTGTAGTGAGGCATCACGTTGTCATTAATAAGATCAATGCAATGACCTGTTACGGCTTTATCTGGGTGATTCTTTTCAGCAAAACTTTGCAGTTCTTCCCATATTGCACACATTTTCTCTACTGCTGCCGCCGCCTCCTCCTCCTCTGAAGATTTGTTGTACTGCCTAGCTAGTTCAACAACATGAGTACCATTTTCATGTTTACGAATGATGTCTTGTTTTTCCTCTATGGTCATTCATACGTGTGTTTTCATATGTTGAACCTTACCACTGATTTTCTCGGGACCACATGGTATGATATATAATAATCAGTTTTATGTTTAAAAAGCAAAAAATCACTACAAAAATGGAATTTCTTATAAGTGTGTTCATCACTAAGCGGGCAGCTGTAGTAAACTGAGGCAGGTCGGCCCGCACGACCGGGAACCATGCGCTCGGTCGACCCAAAAGTGTGTTAATGAATATCATTAGTCGATGACACTATCGTAAGTCGAGTCACATTTTTCAATCAAATTTATATCGTAACTCAAAATTATCGTAAGTCGGGGCAATTGTAAGTCGAGGTGCCACTGTATAGGTTTTCTGTATACTTTATTGCAAAAAATCGTCAACATGGCATTTGAAAAATGCGACAAATTTAGACTAAACAAATGTATAACTCCAAACGTTTAGGGTTTATGAAAAATCCATTTTCAAGGGATTGTAGAACAGACAGCTGAGCACACAATATGTCAAAATGGTAAGAATCGGTCAGGAACTGGAATTTTAGAAGACACTCAAAGTTGAAACTCTAGTTTTAGAGATAATTGAAGTTGAAGTTATCGACAATGAATAAAGGTAGTTCGAATTCGTTAATTTACTACTTGTATGTTTTATTTATTTATTTATTTATTTACGCATATACAAGAATGTACACTGGGAATGTGAGAATACATAATATGGTAATTACAGTCTTGTAAAGCCACTAGTACGCGCAGCGCTTCGGGCAGGGACCGGCAATGTTTTTAATAAACATTTCTTGGCATTTGTACTCGAATATGTGAAAGTTGTAGGATAATGTGTCGAAATGAAGTCCAGAAAAAATCTGTCCCAAAAACAAAATATATTGATAATTATAATAATTATAATGATTTAGTGGGTATATTTAGGGTATACTTTTATAGAAGTAAAAAAGCCCTAATCTGGTCCCTAATTATCAAAACAACCTAAAGAGACAAAGAAAATAGTTTGAAATCTCTGAAAAAAATGAGTCAAAAACAATTCAAAGTCCCAAGTTCTGCGAGTTGACCGATTTATTGTTGACCAATTTCACTCTGTCTTCACATAGTTAGGGACGGGTATGCACTCTCCAGGATGTAAAAGTTATAACAAAAATCACATAATAAAAAAAATAAAAAAAATAAAACAAAACAAAATTGAACATTGATGAAAGTAACATATATTAACATTGGTCAATGTATTTATATGATACATAATAAAATAGAGCATAATAATAGTTATTCATTATTATTTGTGTTATTATGTATTACTCAGCAATGATATAAAGGCACCAGCTGCATAGCCACTTTGTGGACACTTCTTGCTACTATTGTTCTCTTTTTGTGCGTCGGACAGGTGTTTGCATCTTTTTATTACTGTATTATCCTTCAGTTCCAGTTAAGGGGCCTTAAGTTAGGATAGGTGAAAGTTGTTCACCTTTTCCATTTCCATATACATTCCATACCATATCCATATTCTATATACATTTCCATATACCTTTTCCATTCCATTTCCCCTTTCCATTATTTCCATGTTTAAGTTCAATCAAACTTTATTCGCTAGTTGTATAAGAAAAGGGCTGCAGCTGGTCCAAGTTTCAGTATCAAACCCTAAATAGAAAGGGAGAAAAAAGTTTTTCAATGAATTTGCACATTTTCAATAAGTCAGTACAACCACAAGTTTCAACTTAAATCATTTCTATGACACTCTTCTATCACATTACCATTTAATACCAGACTTGTCTGAGCAGATTATCCAAAATATGGTTAATTTTACTAACACAAAGTCAAATATCACCCCAAAATTTACGCCAATATTTCAGGTTTGCAAATATTTATAAAATCAATAAAAAAACTTGGTAATAAAGCATTTTAGAGATATTGTAGAGATGTAAACTCTACATATAAGGTGTAAGTTTCATATAAATTGAATAACAAATGAAAGAGGACTAGAAATTTTGTTACTTGACAATAAATAGTAGTCTCCGTGGTGTAGTGGTAAGACACTTGCCTGGCGTTCCGCGAGCGCTATGTCATCTTGAGGTTATCTTGAGATGATTTCGGGGCTTTTAGTGTCCCCGCGGCCCAGTCCTCGACCAGGCCTCCACCCCCAGGAAGCAGCCCGTGACAGCTGGCTAACACCCAGCTTGGGTGTGACACCCAGTCATGGGTTCGTATCCTGGCCGGGGAGGATTGACTGGGTGCAAATCCTTAACTGTAGCCTCTGTTTAACTCAACAGTAATATGGGTACTTGGTTGTGTAAAAACGATCCTTCGCGGCGGGGATCGTATTCCAGGGACCTGCCCGAAACGCTACGCGTACTAGTGGCTGTACAAGAATGTAACAACTCTTGTATATATCTCAAAAAAAAAAAAAAAAAAAGGTAAAGATTCTGCCACCTGTGGTTGAGGTTAACATCAACAGATTTCCTCCAAAATTGGCACCGCTACAGATAAGCTTATGTTTTGTAAGGTGTATAAGTTTTATTCAAATCTCCCAATAAAAAAAATGAGAAAAAAACAAAAATAATTTTTTTTAACAACATTGTTTTGGCATAAAACTAATTATTAAAATACTTTATTATATGCTATTGTGATTGTTTAGTCATAGATATGATTTCAGTTGTCACTTGTGTTTGATGTTAATTTTTGACCATTTTAGAAAATTTTGGATCAGTTCAATATTTTCTTTCCTCCCTTCCTATTTATGCTACGATGCTGAGACTTGGACCAGTTGAAGCCCTTTTCATATACAACTAGTCAAAAAAATTTGATTGAAATCGAACTAGTTTAAATTTATTGCATATTTTAAAATTATGGCCCCTTAATAGGAGCTGTTCTCCATATCAACAAAATGTTCTTCTTTTTAAAAAAAATTGTCTAAAATCAATATCAAAAGATTTTTGATGAAAGTTTCACAACCCTGAAACCAATAAGTTGGAAATTTGTTTAACATTTTTAAGTAATTTTTACATAATTCAAATTTTTTGCTTCTTGACCCCTAAGGCTGTGCCGTTTAAAAGTTAACGTACACACTATTAATAACGCTCATAATGACGTGGGTACACATGTACCCTCGGCACACACTGGTGCTGGTGCATGTGTGTACCCTCGGTACACTGGTGCTGGCGTATGTGTGTACCCTCGGCACACTGATGCTGGGACATGTGTGTACCCTCGGCACACACTGGTGCTGGCGCATGTGTGTACCATCGGCACACTGGTGCTGGCGCATGTGTGTACCCTCGGCACACACTGGTGCTGGCGCATGTGTGTACCCTCGGCACACACTGGTGCTGGCACATGTGTGTACCCTTGGCACACACTGGTGCTGGCGCATGTGTGTACCCTCGGCACACACTGGTGCTGGTGCATGTGTGTACCCTCGGCACACTGATGCTGGCGCATGTGTGTACCCTCAGCACACTGGTGCTGGTGCATGTGTGTACCCTCGGCACACACTGGTGCTGGCGCATGTGTGTACCCTCGGCACACACTGGTGCTGGCGCATGTGTGTACCCTCGGCACACACTGGTGCTGGCGCATGTGTGTACCCTCGGCACACACTGGTGCTGGCGCGTATGTGTACCCTCGGCACACACTGGTGCTGGCGCATGTGTGTACCCTCGGCACACTGATGCTGGGACATGTGTGTACCCTCGGCACACTGATGCTGGCGCATGTGTGTACCCTCGGCACACTGATGCTGGCGCATGTGTGTACCCTCGGCACACTGATGCTGGCGCATTTGTGTACCCTCGGCACACTGATGCTGGCACATGTGTGTACCCTCGGCACACACTGATGCTGGGACATGTGTGTACCCTCGGCACACTGATGCTGGCGCATGTGTGTACCCTCGGCACACTGATGCTGGCACATGTGTGTACCCTCGGCACACTGATGCTGGCACATGTGTGTACCCTCGGCACACACTGATGCTGGGACATGTGTGTACCCTCGGCACACTGATGCTGGCGCATGTGTGTACCCTCGGCACACACTGGTGCTGGCGCATGTGTGTACCCTCGGCACACACTGGTGCTGGTGCATGTGTGTACCCTCGGCACACTGATGCTGGCACATGTGTGTACCCTCGGCACACTGATGCTGGCGCATGTGTGTACCCTCGGCACACTGATGCTGGCACATGTGTGTACCCTCGGCACACTGATGCTGGCACATGTGTGTACCCTCGGCACACTGATGCTGGCGCATGTGTGTACCCTCGGCACACACTGGTGCTGGCGCATGTTTGTACCCTCGGCACACACTGGTGCTGGTGCATGTGTGTACCCTCGGCACACTGATGCTGGCACATGTGTGTACCCTCGGCACACTGATGCTGGCGCATGTGTGTACCCTCGGCACACTGATGCTGGCACATGTGTGTACCCTCGGCACACTGATGCTGGCACATGTGTGTACCCTCGGCACACTGATGCTGGCACATGTGTGTACCCTCGTCACACTGGTGCTGGCACATGTGTGTACCCTCGGCACACTGATGCTGGCGCATGTGTGTACCCTCGGCACACTGATGCTGGCACGTGTGTACCCTCGGCACACACTGGTGCTGGCGCATGTGTGTACCCTCGACACACACTGGTGCTGGCGCATGTGTGTACCCTTGGCACACTGATGCTGGCGCATGTGTGTACCCTCTGCACACACTGGTGCTGGCGTATGTGTGTACCCTTGGCACACACTGGTGCTGGCGCATGTGTGTACCCTCGGCACACACTGGTGCTGGCGCATGTGTGTACCCTCTGCACACACTGGTGCTGGTGCATGTGTGTACCCTTGGCACACTGATGCTGGCGCATGTGTGTACCCTTGGCACACTGATGCTGGCGCATGTGTGTACCCTCTGCACACACTGGTGCTGGCGCATGTGTGTACCCTCGACACACACTGGTGCTGGCGCATGTGTGTACCCTTGGCACACTGATGCTGGCGCATGTGTGTACCCTCTGCACACACTGGTGCTGGCGTATGTGTGTACCCTTGGCACACTGGTGCTGGCGCATGTGTGTACCCTCGGCACACACTGGTGCTGGCGCATGTGTGTACCCTCGACACACATTGGTGCTGGCACATGTGTGTACCCTCGGCACACACTGGTGCTGGCACATGTGTGTACCCTCGACACACATTGGTGCTGGCGCATGTGTGTACCCTCGGCACACACTGGTGCTGGCGCATGTGTGTACCCTCGGCACACACTGGTGCTGGTGCATGTGTGTACCCTCGACACACATTGGTGCTGGCGCATGTGTGTACCCTCGGCACACACTGGTGCTGGCACATGTGTGTACCCTCGACACACATTGGTGCTGGCGCATGTGTGTACCCTCGGCACACACTGGTGCTAGCGCATGTGTGTACCCTCGACACACATTGGTGCTGGCGCATGTGTGTACCCTCGGCACACTGGTTCTGGCGCACTTGTGTACCCTCGGCACACACTAGTGCTGGCGCATGTGTGTACCCACGGCACACTGGTAATTACCTAAGTGTAGTTACAGGATGAGAGCTACGCTCGTGGTGTCCCGTCTTCCCAGCACTCTTTGTCATATAACGCTTTGAAATTACTGACGGTTTTGGCCTCCATCACCTTCTCACCTAACTTGTTCCAACGGTCTACCACTTTGTTTACAAAAGTGAATTTTCTTATATTCCTCTGGCAACTTTGTTTCCTTAGTTTAAATCTATGACCTCTTGTTCTTGAAGTTCCGGGTCTCGGGAATTCTTCCCTGTCAATTTTGTCGATTCCTGTTATTATTTTGTACGTAGTGATCATATCGCCTCTTTTTCTTCTATCTTCTAGTTTTTGCTTATTTAATGCCTCTAGCCTCTCCTCGTAGCTCTTGTTCTTCAGTTCTGCAATTCTTTTACCATGTTGTAGCTCAGTCGATTAAGGCAGCATCTGGCATGCTCACGGACGCAGGTTCGAATCCTTGTCACGGCCCTTGTGGATGTGTTCACCTCCATAACAATACATGTGCTCTGCAAGAAAACTTCATGCTTAATTGGTAGTCTTGCATGAATGTGTCGCCCACGCCACTTTGCTGCTATATTCCCGACAACACTAATAGTACAATACCTCAGTATGGCATATGTCTGTTAAAATAGTGGCACCTTCTTATAATGGATTCGTCTTAACATTAGCCCGAATTTGGTTACCGGTTGGTTCTCCCTTTCAAATATCAAACTTCTCAGAAAATGTTTGAATTATGGACTGGGCCCCTTTGAAACCCAGATCATTAGGAAGTCATTTTCTGAACATCAAACTTTTTTCAACAGTTTTCTAATATTTAGTTGATCAATATTCAAAGAAGGGCAATTTTCAGCAAATTCAGATTGGGGTCCAGAATGGTTTAATCCTAGTTTCCGTGGAGTGCCAGTACAGTACTGGTATTGATAAATAAAATACCCTCGGCGTGATTTGGTATTGGTATAATATTGTAAATATACACCAGTGCTTAGTACTACTGTATTTTCATAATTCTCTTTGCTTTTCAGGTGCCTGTAGACTTTGACATGTATGGCTTGGACCGTGTGAATGTCACGTCAAGGCTGCGCTACTCTGCAACACAACAGGCCCTTGCTTTCTTCTCCGTAATGGGGACGATTCTGGCAGTGTATTATTACTGTGAAGACAAGAAGATTCACTGGCCCGTGGCGAGTACTTTTTATATGTAGTCAAAATACGTTATGTATTTATTTAATACAGTGTTTAAATGTATGATACTGTGCATATATATTTAATACCTCTCAAAGGAATACATATTTGTATACTTTAGATTTCACTATCAGTATGTATATGCATGTGTGTCATGGAATAATTGCTTATGTGTAGTTACAGAATGAGATCTATGCTCGTGGTGTCCCATCTTACCAATAATCTTTTGTCACATGACGTTCTAAAACTACTGATAGCTTTTGAAGTTCGCCTCCACCTCACTTTAATTGTTCCAACCATTTACCGCTCCATTCACAAGAGACCTTCCTGATATTTTTGTGTTGCCACCTTTGTTTCTTTAGCTCGAATCTATTATGTCGTGTTCTTGAAGTTGCAGGTTTAACTATTCTTCCTTGTCAATTGTGTCTATTCCAATCACTATTTGTATATATTATCATACTGCCTCTTTTCCTTCCATTTTCAACCTTTGGCATATTTTAGCACCTCTAGCCTCTCCTTGAGAGATCTTGTTTTTCAGTTCCAGAAACCATTTAGTAACATGACTTTGTAACTTTACCGGTTTATTGATGTGCTTCTCGGGATATGGACACCATACAACTGCTGCGTATTCCAATTTTGGTCTGGTGTTGTGAACCTTTTTGTTTGTTTATTTCTCCAGCCGTATCTTTAAAGGCGATGCTGAAGTTTGGCAGCGTAGCTCAGGCTCCTCGCACGATTAGCCTGACGGTACGTTGTGGTGATGGCTTGTTATCCACAACCACGCCGAGATATCTTTTCTTGTCTAGTTATTTTTTTTAGTATCTTTTTACACAGTTTGTGGGTTAACTGTGGCCTGTTTGTCCACAATGTGCCATTTGTTTCCAATGAATAACACAAGGATTGTACCTGGATGGGGTTCTGAGAGTTCCACTCCCCTAGCTTGGCCCAGGGCCAGGTTTGACTTGAGAATGTGGTCCGACAGGCTGTTGCTTGGAGCAGCCCGCCAGATCACTTATCCACTACAATCCAGTTGGTTCGGCACTTCTTGCACAAAACTTTCCAGTTTTTTCTTGACTACTTCCACTTTTGTTCCGGTAATATTTCTTATAATTGCTGAGAGGATACAAACCCTACAAAAGGAATTTAAAAACTGACTTCGGAAGCGTATCAAGTCTGTCTGAAACATGTTCCTTTGAGGAAAGTCAGAAAGAGATCCAACATAGAAAGAGAATGCAGACGACTCTATAAAAAGAAGGAAAAAATAACGGAAATGCTTAAGCAGACACGACTTTTCCAGCAAAGGAATAAATTAAATAGGGAGATTGAAGAAATCGAGCGGAAATTGAAACGCTCATATCAAACTGAAGAAAGGTAGTTAGAATGGAAACCTATTCAGGAAATAAAGAAAAATCCAAAATACTTCTTTACATATGCAAAATCAAAAGCAAAAACCACTGCCAGTATTGGACCTATTCGTACGAGTGAAGGGTCATACACGGAGGATGACAAAGAAATTAGTGAAATCCTAAAAAAGCAGTATGAGGACATGTTTAGTACTCTAGTAAACAACATGAAAGTGGAAGATCCAGACAATTTCTTTATGCCTGATATCCAAACCCCTGTAAATATAACCGATATCAACACCTTACTAGACTTTGAGAGAGAAATTGAAAACATGGCCATGCTCTCATCTCCGGGTTCAGATTCGTGGAATTCAATATTTATAAAGAAATGCAAAGTGCCAGTAGCACAGGCACTCAGCATAATGTGGAGGAAGAGCTTGGATATGGGGGAGATACCAGATGCACTTAAAATAGCAGACATAGCCCAGTTACACAAGGGAGGGAGAAAAGCATTGGCAAAGAATTACAGACCAGTTACACTAACGTCCCACATAATAAAAGTATTTTAGAGGATGATTAGGAGTCAGGTCACCAATTTCATGGAGACCAATGACTTTCACAACCCAGACCAACATGGGTTTCGAGCGGGAAGATTGTGCCTCTCACAGCTACTTGATCGCTATGACAAAGTCACTGAGGCATTAGGAGATAAACAGAATGCTGATGTGGTATACACGGACTTTGCAAAGGCTTACGATAATGTGACCATGGAGTGATAGCACACAAAATGAGGTTAATGGGAATAACCGGTAAAGTTCGATGCTGGATATTCAGTTTTCTGTCAAACAGGACTCAACACGTAACAGTCAATCATATAAAATCGAGTCCAAGCACGGTTAAAAGCTCTGTACCTCAGGGTACAGTCCTTGCACCACTGCTTTTTCTTATTCTCATATCAGATATAGACAAAAATACAAGTCACAGCTTCATATCATCCTTTGTATATGAAACAAAAATCAGTATGAAAATTACCTCGGCTGAAGACATTGAAAAACTTCAAGCAGATATTAATAAAGTTTTTGACTGGGCAACAGAAAATAACATGATGTTTAACAGTGATAAATTCCAGGTACTCGGGTACAATAAAAATGAGGACCTTAAACATAATACAGGGTACAAAACACAAATCTACCCATAGTAGGAAAACAGCATGTAAAGGATTTGGGAATAATGATGTCTGACGACCTAACGTTTAGGGAGCATAACCAAGCAAATATTGCGTCAGCCAGAAAAATGATTGGATGGATTACGAGAACTTTCAAATCCAGGTATCCTATCACTATGGTTGTACTCTTCAAGTCACTTGTGTTGTCCTGTCTTGAATACTGCTTAGTACTCACTTCCCCCTTCAGAGCAGAAGAGATTGCTGAAATAGAGAGAATACAGAGAACATATACGGCATGCATAGACGCAATAAAGCACCTAAATTATTGGGATCGTCTCAAAGCCCTCCAAATGTATTCGCTAGAAAGAAGATGAGAGAGAGAGATCAAATAATATACAGCTGGAAGATACTGGAGGGCCAAGTACCATATCTACACAGTAAAATAACAACGCACTGGAGTGAACGATATGGAAGAAAATGCAGAATAGAACCAGTGAAAAGGAGGGGTGAAATAGGCACAATCAGAGAACACTGTATAAACATCAGAGGTCCACTGTTGTTCAACACCCTCCCAGCGAGCATAAGAAATATTGCTGGAACAACTGTGGATATCTTCAAGAGTAAACTAGATTGTTTCCTCCAAGGAGTGCCGGACCAACTGTGTGGTGGGTATGCGGGCCTGTGGGCCGCTCTAAGTAATAGCCTAGTGGACCAAACTTTCAAGTCAAGCCTGGCCTCGGGCCGGGCTTGAGGAGTAGAACTTCCAGAACCCCATCAACCAGGTATCAACCAGGCATGGGCATGTTGTCAATTTGTCTTTCAAAATCTGCAGCATTCATGTTGATATCAGTTATATTTTCAGGGGTTTTAATACTATTCATGAAGAAGCTGTCTGGATCTTACACTGTCAAGCTATTTATTGGGGGGCTAAACATGTCCTCATGCTGCTTGTTTTAGGATTTCTTTGTCCTCTGTGCATGAACCTTCGTTTGTAAGAATAGGTCCACTACTGACGGAGGTTTTTTATTGCGATTTCACATGTGAAGAAATATTTTTTATTTTTATTTATCTCTTGTATGGCTTTCTGTTCTAATTGCACTTCTTCGATCTGATGGCATTGCTTCGGTCTCTGTTCTATTTCTTCAATCTCCGTGTTTGACTTATTCTTTCTTTGTAGGGACAGTCGTGTCTGCTTGAACATTTCTGTGACTTCTTCTGTAGTACCTTCTGCGTTCTCTTTCTCCATTGGTGCATTTTCTGGCTTTCTGGAAAGGAACTCATTTCAGACAGACTTTATATATTTCAGAAGTCAGTAGTTCTATATCTTGCTTGGAATTAGTATTACTTAGAACAGTTTCCCATTAAATCTGATGCTCCACTCATTTTGTCTAGATCATTTTGAAGGACAAGACCTCCAGATATCTCTAAATCTAAGTCCCTGACTCTTCCTAGCAATTTAGTATCGTCTGTAAACGTGTTCTTGTAACTTGGTATCCCCTCTGGTAGATTGATATAGATAATGCTTATTACCGGTGCAAGAACCTAACCTCGAGGTAATCCGTTAATGACATTTCTCCAGTGGGATACATTTCTGCTGCTTGCATTTGTCTGTTACAAAAATATTTCGTTCATCAGTAGTCTGTCTCTCACCTCTGCCGTATATTCTACTTGCCAGAACTGCGTCTTGTGTGGGACTCTTGTCAAAGGTCTTTGTTAGTTCCTGATAGAATTCAGTTGGCCCGCCCAACCCTCTCTTAGAAGAGCTACAGTGAATGTAGCTCTACTGTAAAAGCCAAAATGATGTGTTATGCAGGATCTTCCCATTCGTTTTTTTTTTTTTTATTTCCCTCTATTTATTACTGTGTATTATTTTTCCGGCCAATTTTACTACATGTCAGTGGTACAGTTCTATAATTCAGAGGGTCTTCTTTTTCTGTTTTTTTATAGATTGAAATTGTTTCTCTTTTTTAATACATGTGCATGGTTTCATGTCTGTAAGGATGTTTGGAAGGCAATTTGTATTGGGGTGGTAATCTTGGATGCACGGTCCCTTGGAACTCATGACGAGACCCTCACCTGGGCCAGACGGCTTTATTTCTCTTTAGTTCTTTGAGCAGTTAACTCGCCTAATTGTACCCATCTGATTGTGCATGCAAGGGGTTGAGCTTTGGCTCTTTGGCCCCTCACCTCTCACCTCTCAAAGTGTTCGATCAACTGGTGTACAAGTTCCTGAACTTGTTAAGCTCTATCATATCTACAGTTGAAACTGTGTTTGGAGTCTGTCTCTACCACATCACTGCCTAATGCATTCCATTTATTAACTACTCTGACACTAAAAATTTTTTTTCTAATGTGTGTATGGCATTGATTTCATTGTTCAAGTCGCACACAATTTGTTTATTATTTGTCTGTGATCAGGGAATTCAGTTTAACAATATTAGAAGTAGAATAATTTTTATAATTGTAATTTTATGTGAATCACGGGTGTTGCACTGTAATCTTGAGATGATTTTGGGGCTTAGCGTTCCCATGGCCCGGTCCTCGACCAGGCCTCCTTTATTGTTACACACCCACAGGAAGTAGCCTGTAGCATCTGTAACTCCCAGGTACCTATTTACTGCTAGGTGAACAGGAGCATCAGGGTAAAAGAAACTCGTCCCATTTGTTTCCACCTCCGCTGGGGAAACAATGTATAAAAGAAAGTATACGGTATTAAACGTTTATAAAAATGGTATAAACAGTGGTGCAGCCTGGCCGAGGACCGGGCCGCGGGGACGTTGAGCTCCGACATCATTGCAAGGCAAGGTAACCGCAGCTCAGGGGTCGAGGGTTAACAGCATTTTTCCACCTAGTCTCGCGTAACTGTATACAAAGAAGGAAAGACTTGCGGAGCACTGTCAATAAAATAAGTATTTTTTGTCATGTAAAAAGTATTTTTGTCATCTAGACTTGTGTATGTGCAGCAGTTTTTTGTTATGTTTGGTTTGAAAGTACATGTTAATAGAAGTTTTAATGGTTACATTTTGTCTTTGCAGCTTCCAAAGCAGTATCCTCAAGGCACGGCAGTTCATTACACCTTCGAGCCGCTAGATTAAAGATGGAAGGGAGTGACATTTGCTGTATATAAAGTGATGGACAATTATGTCGCTTGTAAACTGTTTAATATAATAATAAATATTATTAAATATTTCATTATATCATTAACCATTATGCACTACAGTAGTTGTAGAATTATTTTATACAGGGATACCCAGACAAGGCTGGGTAACGTACCCCTCCCTCTATATCTCTCCCTCCCCTCCCTCTATATCTCTCTCTCCCCTCCCCTCCCACTCACCCCCTTCCTCTTTCTCTCTCTCTCTCTCTCTCTCTCTCTCTCTCTCTCTCTCTCTCTCTCTCTCTCTCTCTCTCTCTCTCTCTCTCTCTCTCTCTCTCTCTCTCTCTCTCTCACGTTGTCTCTCTCTGTCTCTCTCTCTCTCTCGCTTTCTCTCTTTTCTCTCTCTCTCTCTCTCTCTCTTTTTATTCTTAGATTAATTTGATCAGAGGATTTATTACCGAACAAAATATAGAAAGTTTTGTCAATGTTGAGGGTGAGTTTGTTAGCAGTTAGCCCAAGATGGACTTTATTTAGTTCAGTATTCATTGTGACATCAAGTCAGGACTTGAGAAAATGAAGGTTGTGTCAACAGCAAATAAGATTGGGTTTGAGGTGTTGGGAGGCATTTGGAAGGTCATTAATGTAGATGAGAAAGGAAAGGGCCAAGTATGCTGCCCTGAGGAACACCAATGTTGATGGGTAGGGTGGGAGAAATAGAATTATTCACGGAAACATACTGGAGCTTGTCATTAATGTAAGAATGAAGATATTGCAGGGAGTGACCTTTGACTCCATAATGATGTAATTTAAGAAGAGGGTTTTGGTGGATGACTGTCTAAAAGCCTTGCGTAGGTCCACAAATAACCCAACAGGGAACTCATTTTTATCAAGAGCTGCATGTATCAAGTTAATCATACTAATAAGTGCATCGTTAGTGCTTTTTTTTGGGTCTGAAACCATATTGGCAAAAGCTAAGTATATTCTGCTTTGCTAGATCAAAGTAAAGCTGCTTGAGGGTTATTAGGTTCGCAGTGGTCGACATTAAAACCCCCCGAGAGTATTAGTTGGTTGAGGGTCCAAGGGCTAACAACACTGCAAACCAGGCATGTCGGGGCAGATCTCACAGAAATCTTTTAAAATACTGAACAATTTGGAAGATGTTGATCTGGACAACTTCAGAAGGTCAGATGTAACACAAACAAGGAACAACGGTTTCAAGCTCAACAAGCCACATTGGAGGATTGAGAACTGGAGATGCTTTTTCACCCACAGGTGAAAACGTTAGTATAGTTGACCAAGGGACTTTATTAAGGTAGCATAGTTCCCCAAGGGGCAGTATTAAGGTAGCACAGTTCCCCAAGGGGCAGTAGTGAGGTAGTATAGTTCCCCAAGGGGCAGTAGTAAACTAGCACAGTTCCCCAAGGGGCAGTATTAAGGTAGCACAGTTCCCCAAGGGGCAGTAGTGAGGTAGTATAGTTCCCCAAGGGGCAGTAGTAAACTAGCACAGTTCCCCAAGGGGCAGTATTAAGGTAGCACAGTTCCCCAAGGGGCAGTAGTGAGGTAGTATAGTTCCCCAAGGGGCAGTAGTAAACTAGCACAGTTCCCCAAGGGGCAGTATTAAGGTAGCACAGTTCCCCAAGGGGCAGTAGTGAGGTAGTATAGTTCCCCAAGGGGCAGTAGTAAACTAGCACAGTTCCCCAAGGGGCAGTATTAAGGTAGCACAGTTCCCCAAGGGGCAGTAGTGAGGTAGTATAGTTCCCCAAGGGGCAGTAGTAAACTAGCACAGTTCCCCAAGGGGCAGTATTAAGGTAGCACAGTTCCCCAAGGGGCAGTAGTGAGGTAGTATAGTTCCCCATGGGGCAGTAGTAAAGTAGCACAGTTCCCCAAGGGGCAGTATTAAGGTAGCACAGTTCCCCAAGGGGCAGTAGTGAGGTAGTATAGTTCCCCAAGGGGCAGTATTAAGGTAGCACAGTTCCCCAAGGGGCAGTATTAAGGTAGCACAGTTCCCCAAGGGGCAGTAGTGAGGTAGTATAGTTCCCCAAGGGGCAGTATTAAGGTAGCACAGTTCCCCAAGGGGCAGTATTAAGGTAGCACAGTTCCCCAAGGGGCAGTAGTAAAGTAGCACAGTTCCCCAAGGGGCAGTATTAAGGTAGCATATACTGGCCTGCCAACATCACATATACTGGCCTGCCAACACCACATATACTGGTCTGCCAACATCACATATACTGGCCTGCCAACACCACATATACTGGCCTGCCAACACCACATATACTGGTCTGCCAACATCACATATACTGGCCTGCCAACACCACATATACTGGCCTGCCAACATCACATATACTGGCCTGCCAACACCACATATACTGGTCTGCCAACATCACATATACTGGCCTGCCAACACCACATATACTGGCCTGCCAACATCACATATACTGGCCTGCCAACACCACATATACTGGTCTGCCAACATCACATATACTGGCCTGCCAACACCACATATACTGGCCTGCCAACATCACATATACTGGCCTGCCAACACCACATATACTGGCCTGCCAACACCACATATACTGGTCTGCCAACATCACATATACTGGCCTGCCAACACCACATATACTGGCCTGCCAACACCACATATACTGGCCTGCCAACACATATACTGGCCTGCCAACACCACATATACTGGCCTGCCAACATTACATATACTGGCCTGCCAACATCACATATACTGGCCTGCCAACACCACATATACTGGCCTGCCAACATCACATATACTGGCCTGCCAACACCACATATACTGGCCTGCCAACATTACATATACTGGCCTGCCAACATTACATATACTGGCCTGCCAACACCACATATACTGGCCTGCCAACACATATACTGGCCTGCCAACATTACATATACTGGCCTGCCAACACCACATATACTGGCCTGCCAACATCACATATACTGGCCTGCCAACACCACATATACTGGCCTGCTAACACCACATATACTGGCCTGCCAACACCACATATACTGGCCTGCCAACACCACATATACTGGCCTGCCAACATTACATATACTGGCCTGCCAACATCACATATACTGGCCTGCCAACACCACATATACTGGCCTGCCAACATCACATATACTGGCCTGCCAACACCACATATACTGGCCTGCCAACATTACATATACTGGCCTGCCAACATTACATATACTGGCCTGCCAACACCACATATACTGGCCTGCCAACACATATACTGGCCTGCCAACATTACATATACTGGCCTGCCAACATTACATATACTGGCCTGCCAACATTACATATACTGGCCTGCCAACATTACATATACTGGCCTGCCAACACCACATATACTGGCCTGCCAACACCACATATACTGGCCTGCCAACACCACATATACTGGCCTGCCAACATTACATATACTGGCCTGCCAACACCACATATACTGGCCTGCCAACACCACATATACTGGCCTGCCAACACCACATATACTGGCCTGCCAACACCACATATACTGGCCTGCCAACATCACATATACTGGCCTGCCAACACCACATATACTGGCCTGCCAACACCACATATACTGGCCTGCCAACGCCACATATACTGGCCTGCCAACACCACATATACTGGCCTGCCAACATTACATATACTGGCCTGCCAACACCACATATACTGGCCTGCCAACACCACATATACTGGCCTGCCAACATCACATATACTGGCCTGCCAACACCACATATACTGGCCTGCCAACACCACATATACTGGCCTGCCAACATCACATATACTGGCCTGCCAACATCACATATACTGGCCTGCCAACACCACATATACTGGCCTGCCAACACCACATATACTGGCCTGCCAACATCACATATACTGGCCTGCCAACACCACATATACTGGCCTGCCAACATCACATATACTGGCCTGCCAACATCACATATACTGGCCTGCCAACACCACATATACTGACCTGCCAACATCACATCTCCAACACCAATATCACACTAAAAAACAACATAAAACCTGATAACCCCTATCATTATAGACATTATAGAGAGCCCAAACATGTTAATAGAGTCATATTATAGATTATAGAGACCAAAATTCACCCTCACAAAAACACACCAATGCCCCGCTTCAAACACCACCCCCGCAATAAAAACCAATCAAAACCATTAACTCCCCACCATTATAGCCATTATAGAGCCCCCAGACCTATAACCGGGTATATAATAAGCCCTGCCAGCGAGAAAAGAACCAAGCGGCCGGCGCGCGGGGGTTGACCGTCTTACCCGCCATAACAGACAGCGTGGCGCCAAAACTCCCCGCCGGGGGACCTACAACATACCCTTCCTCAACCGGTTTTCCGGAATTCCTCACTTCCCAGGCTGTCTGCTGTCCACAAACCCTCGCCCCACCGGTTAAGGGGAGTCTGGCGCTTCCCGCGCAACCCGTTTGATCAGCTGGAACCGGTTCATTGGGCCGCAGGTGAGTGAAATATGAGGACATATGGAGTTTCTACCCACCCACACCCAAGTCTCCATTCATGGCCGCTTATTTATTGGTTTATTTCGTTGGATTTGGTCATTTGTGCTGGTGGAGGAGGAGCGAGGGTCGCCTCAAGGGTGTATAATACACTATACATCAGTGGTGTATTAATGTGTATTTGGTTAGATTCTTTATACAACAGTTTTTCACTCTACCCAAAATTTTTATTATTTTCGGGGGCTGATTTTAGGTTTATTTTTGTCTATTATTTATGTAAATTTTTGTTTTAATGCGTTTGTGTCAGGTGTGTGTGGTGTCAGGTGTAGTTTGTGTGGTGTCAGGTGTGTGTGTGTGTGGTGTCAGGTGTGTAGTGTGTGGTGTCAGGTGTGGTTTGTGGTGTCAGGTGTGTTGTGTGGTGTCTGGTGTGGTTTGTGGTGTCAGGTGAGTTGTGTGGTGTCAGGTGTGTGTGTGTGGTGTCAGGCGAGTTGTGTGATGTCAGGTGTGTGTGGTGTCAGGTGAGTTGTGTGGTGTCAGGTGGGGTTTGTGTAGTGTCAGGTGTGGTTTGTGTGGTGTCAGGTGTGGTTTGTGTGGTGTCAGGAGTGGTTTGTGTGGTGTCAGGTGTGGTTTGTGTGGTGTAAGGTGTGTGTGGTGTCAGGTGTGGTTTGCGTCGTGTCAGGTGTGGTTTGTGTGGAGTCAGGTGTGGTTTGTGTGGTGTCAGGTGTGGTTTGTGTGGTGTCAGGTGTGTGTGGTGTCAGGTGTGTTGTGTGGTGCCAGGTGTGGGTTGTGTGGTCAGGTGTGGTGTCAGATGTGGTTTGTATGGTGTCAGGTGTGTGTGGTGTCAGGTGTGTTGTGTGGTGTCAGGTGTGGTTTGTGTGGTGTCAGGTGTGGTTTGTGTGGTGTCAGGTCAGGTGTGGTTTGTGTGGTGTCAGGTGTGGTTTGTGTGGTGTCAGGTGTGATTTGTGTGGTGTCAGTTGTGGTTTGTGTGGTCAGGTGTGGTGTCAGGTGTGGTTTGCAGTGTCAGGTGTGTGTGTGTGGTGTCTGATGTGGTTTGTATGGTGTCAGGTGTGGTTTGTGTGGTGTCAGGTGTGTTGTGTGGTGTCATGTGTGGTTTGTGTGGTGTCATGTGTGTGTGTGTGTGGTGTCAGGTGTGGTTTGTGGTGTCAGGTGTGTTGTGTGGTGTCAGGTGTGGTTTGTGTGGTGTCAGGTGTGGTTTGTGTAGTGTCAAGTGGTTTGTGTGGTGTCAGGTGTGGTTTGTTTGGTGTCAGGTGTGTTGTGTCAGCTGTGTTGTGTGGTGTCAGGTGTGTGTGTAGTGTGTCAGCTGTGTTGTGGTGTGTCAGGTGTGTTGTGTGGTGTCAGCTGTGTTGTGTGGTGTCAGCTGTATTGTGTGGTGTCAGCTGTGTTGGTGTCAGCTGTGTGTGTGGTGTCAGGTGTAGTTTGTGTGGTGTCAGGTGTGTGTGTGTGGTGTCAGGTGTGTAGTGTGTGGTGTCAGGTGTGGTTTGTGGTGTCAGGTGTGTTGTGTGGTGTCTGGTGTGGTTTGTGGTGTCAGGTGAGTTGTGTGGTGTCAGGTGTGTGTGTGTGGTGTCAGGCGAGTTGTGTGATGTCAGGTGTGTGTGGTGTCAGGTGAGTTGTGTGGTGTCAGGTGGGGTTTGTGTAGTGTCAGGTGTGGTTTGTGTGGTGTCAGGTGTGGTTTGTGTGGTGTCAGGAGTGGTTTGTGTGGTGTGTGGTTTGTGTGGTGTCAGTTGTGTGGTGTAAGGTGTGTGTGGTGTCAGGTGTGGTTTGCGTCGTGTCAGGTGTGGTTTGTGTGGAGTCAGGTGTGGTTTGTGTGGTGTCAGGTGTGGTTTGTGTGGTGTCAGGTGTGTGTGGTGTCAGGTGTGTTGTGTGGTGCCAGGTGTGGGTTGTGTGGTCAGGTGTGGTGTCAGATGTGGTTTGTATGGTGTCAGGTGTGTGTGGTGTCAGGTGTGTTGTGTGGTGTCAGGTGTGGTTTGTGTGGTGTCAGGTGTGGTTTGTGTGGTGTCAGGTGTGGTTTGTGGTGTCAGGTGTGTGTGGTGTCAGGTGTGTTGTGTGGTGTCGGGTGTGGTTTGTGGTCAGGTGTGGTTTGTGTGGTGTCAGGTGTGGTTTGTGTGGTGTCAGGTGTGATTTGTGTGGTGTCAGTTGTGGTTTGTGTGGTCAGGTGTGGTGTCAGGTGTGGTTTGCAGTGTCAGGTGTGTGTGTGTGGTGTCTGATGTGGTTTGTATGGTGTCAGGTGTGGTTTGTGTGGTGTCAGGTGTGTTGTGTGGTGTCATGTGTGGTTTGTGTGGTGTCAGGTGTGTGTGTGTGTGGTGTCAGGTGTGGTTTGTGGTGTCAGGTGTGTTGTGTGGTGTCAGGTGTGGTTTGTGTGGTGTCAGGTGTGGTTTGTGTAGTGTCAAGTGGTTTGTGTGGTGTCAGGTGTGGTTTGTTTGGTGTCAGGTGTGTTGTGTCAGCTGTGTTGTGTGGTGTCAGGTGTGTGTGTAGTGTGTCAGCTGTGTTGTGGTGTGTCAGGTGTGTTGTGTGGTGTCAGCTGTGTTGTGTGGTGTCAGCTGTATTGTGTGGTGTCAGCTGTGTTGTGGTGTGTCAGCTGTGTTGTGTGGTGTCAGCTGTGTTGTGTGGTGTGTCAGCTGTGTTGTGTGGTGTGTCAGGTGTGTTGTGTGGTGTGTCAGCTGTGTTGTGTGGTGTCAGGTGTGTTGTGTGGTGTCAGGTGTGCTGTGTTGTGTGGTGTGTCAGCTGTGTTGTGTGGTGTGTCAGCTGTGTTGTGTGGTGTCAGCTGTGTTGTGTGGTGTGTCAGCTGTGTTGTGTGGTGTCAGCTGTGTTGTGGTGTGTCAGGTGTGTTGTGTGGTGTCAGCTGTGTTGTGTGGTGTCAGCTGTGTTGTGTGGTGTGTCAGCTGTGTTGTGTGGTGTGTCAGCTGTGTTGTGTGGTGTCAGCTGTGTTGTGTGGTGTCAGGTGTGTTGTGTGGTGTCAGGTGGGGTTTGTGTAGTGTCAGGTGTGGTTTGTGTGGTGTCAGGTGTGGTTTGTGTGGTGTCAGGAGTGGTTTGTGTGGTGTCATTTGTGGTTTGTGTGGTGTCAGCTGTGTTGTGTGGTGTAAGGTGTGTGTGTGGTGTCAGGTGTGGTTTGCGTCGTGTCAGGTGTGGTTTGTGTGGAGTCAGGTGTGGTTTGTGTGGTGTCAGGTGTGGTTTGTGTGGTGTCAGGTGTGTGTGGCGTCAGGTGTGTTGTGTGGTGCCAGGTGTGGGTTGTGGTCAGGTGTGGTGTCAGATGTGGTTTGTATGGTGTCAGGTGTGTGTAATGTCAGGTGTGTTGTGTGGTGTCAGGTGTGGTTTGTGTGGTGTCGGGTGTGGTTTGTGTGGTGTCAGGTGTGGTTTGTGGTGTCAGGTGTGTGTGGTGTCAGGTGCGTTGTGTGGTGTCGGGTGTGGTTTGTGTGGTGTCAGGTGTGGTTTGTGTGGTGTCAGGTGTGATTTGTGTGGTGTCAGTTGTGGTTTGTGTGGTCAGGTGTGGTGTCAGGTGTGGTTTGCAGTGTCAGGTGTGTTTGGTGTCAGATGTGTGTGTGTGGTGTCTGATGTGGTTTGTATGGTGTCAGGTGTGGTTTGTGGGGTGTCAGGTGTGTTGTGTGGTGTCAGGTGTGGTTTGTGTGGTGTCAGGTGTGTGTGTGTGTGGTGTCAGGTGTGGTTTGTGGTGTCAGGTGTGTTGTGTGGTGTCAGGTGTGGTTTGTGTGGTGTCAGGTGTGGTTTGTGTGGTGTCAGGTGTGGTTTGTGTGGTGTCAAGTGGTTTGTGTGGTGTCAAGTGGTTTGTGTGGTGTCAGGTGTGGTTTGTTTGGTGTCAGGTGTGTTGTGTCAGCTGTGTTGTGTGGTGTGTCAGGTGTGCTGTGTAGTGTGTCAGCTGTGTTGTGTGGTGTCAGCTGTGTTGTGTGGTGTCAGCTATGTTGTGTGGTGTGTCAGCTGTGTTGTGTGGTGTCAGCTATGTTGTGTGGTGTGTCAGCTGTGTGGTGTCAGCTGTGTTGTGTGGTGTCAGTTGTGTTGTGTGGTGTGTCAGCTGTGTTGTGTGGTGTCAGCTGTGTTGTGTGGTGTGTCAGCTGTGTTGTGTGGTGTGTCAGCTGTGTTGTGTGGTGTCAGCTGTGTTGTGTGGTGTCAGCTGTGTTGTGTGGTGTGTCAGGTATGTTGTGTGGTGTCAGCTGTGTTGTGTGGTGTCAGCTGTGTTGTGTGGTGTGTCAGCTGTGTTGTGTGGTGTCAGGTGTGTTGTGTGGTGTCAGGTGTGCTGTGTAGTGTGTCAGCTGTGTTGTGTGGTGTCAGCTGTGTTGTGTGGTGTCAGCTATGTTGTGTGGTGTGTCAGCTGTGTTGTGTGGTGTCAGCTATGTTGTGTGGTGTGTCAGCTGTGTGGTGTCAGCTGTGTTGTGTGGTGTCAGTTGTGTTGTGTGGTGTGTCAGCTGTGTTGTGTGGTGTCAGCTGTGTTGTGTGGTGTGTCAGCTGTGTTGTGTGGTGTGTCAGCTGTGTTGTGTGGTGTCAGCTGTGTTGTGTGGTGTCAGCTGTGTTGTGTGGTGTCAGCTGTGTTGTGTGGTGTGTCAGGTATGTTGTGTGGTGTCAGGTGTGGTTTGTTTGGTGTCAGGTGTGTTGTGTCAGCTGTGTTGTGTGGTGTGTCAGCTGTGTTGTGTGGTGTGTCAGCTGTGTTGTGTGGTGTCAGGTGTGTTGTGTGGTGTCAGGTGTGTGTGTAGTGTGTCAGCTGTGTTGTGGTGTGTCAGGTGTGTTGTGTGGTGTCAGCTGTGTTGTGTGGTGTCAGCTGTATTGTGTGGTGTCAGCTGTGTTGTGGTGTGTCAGCTGTGCTGTGTGGTGTCAGCTGTGTTGTGTGGTGTGTCAGCTGTGTTGTGTGGTGTGTCAGGTGTGTTGTGTGGTGTGTCAGCTGTGTTGTGTGGTGTCAGGTGTGTTGTGTGGTGTCAGGTGTGCTGTGTTGTGTGGTGTGTCAGCTGTGTTGTGTGGTGTGTCAGCTGTGTTGTGTGGTG